AGCAAAAGTTTTGAGAACTAAGTCAGTTTGAAGACTAAGGTGTGGTACACCTGATCCAAGCCATGGTATTTTCAGTAGCTTCATATGTATGTGAAAGTTGGACAGTGAATAAGGAAGACCATGGAAGAATTGATGTATTTGAATTATGATGCTGGAGAAGAATATTAAAAGTACCATGGAGTGCCAGAAGAACAAACAAATCTATGTTGGAAGAAGTACAGCCAGAATGCTCCTTGGAAGTCAGAGTGGCGAGACTTTGTCTCTCATAATTCGGACATATTTTCAGGAGGGACCAGTTCCTGGATTAGGACATCATGCTTGGTGTAAAGTGTAGGGTCAGCAAAAAAGAAAACTCCAATGGTATGGATTGGCACAGTGGCTGCAGCAAGGGCCTCAAGCATAACAATGATTGTAAGTCTGGTGCAGGACTGGGCAGTGTTTTATTTTTCTGTGCATAGGGTCACTGTGAGTCAGAACTGACGTGACAGCACCTAACAACAATTTTTGGAAGCAGATTTCCAGGCCTTTCTTCCTGGTCTGGAAACTACACTGAAACTTGCCCACTGTAGGTGACCCTTCGGATACTAAAATACCAGTGACTTAGCATCCAGCACAATAACAATACACAAGGCACCACAGTATAACAAACTGACAGATGGGTGGCATTATATACTTGTTAAGTGCTGTCGAGTCAATTCCGACCCATAGCCACCCTGAATAGAGTTTCCAAGGAGAAGCTGGTGAGCTTGAACTGCCGACCTCCCAGTTCAAACGGCTTTGCAGTCTGGTACATTAACCCACTGTTAATCAAAATCGAGTCATGATTGTAAATATCTGGAATCCAACGTAATGTTTACTTTTCTTGTAAAAATCAATGAAAAGTCATTGAATTAGATTTTTAGAATTCGAACACTTTTCCTTTCATATTACTTCAATAAATAGCTTGTTAAACATTGAAGATATTATCACTTAGGAGAAAGTTCACACTCTTTGGTTTTGCTTTGGCCCCACCCACCTTATTAGATTTGTCTCCTGCTGTTTCCTTCTGTTGTGGCGCTGTGGGTTAATGCACTGTACTGCAAAGTTGGTTTGAACCACAGGGTCGGCAGTTCAAGCTCAACATTTCCTTCGGAATGTAAGTTAGCTCTGTGTTTTGCAACATTGTATATTTACCTATCTCCCTTCTTGTTGTGCGCAGCTGAGTCTGTTCTGATTTACAGTGACTCTGTATAAGATTTCCGAGACTGTACATTTTTTACAGGAGCAGAAAGCATGCTTGCCATATTGAAATTGATTTTCTGAGCTCTTATTGGTACTGTGAAAAAAATGACATGGAGGATGACATCAGACTTCTCTGACTATACAAGGGATGGAAGCAGAATCAAATTCTGCATCAGCCTAAGGCCAATTGCTATGAAACTAATGTCAGACCAGTCTCCATCCTCCAACCTTCCTTACCAATTCTGACACCAACCGTTCCTTCTACAGCATTCTCTACTTCTCATCTGAGTTTGATAATTCACTGTAATGGCCACACACAACTTACAGACCATACTAAAAATTATGGGTTTTATTACAGCGACTCATAGTGACCTTGTGTAGGAGGGTCTAGTAGGTTTGAATTGCCAACCTTGTGATTAGCAGTCCAGTGCTTAATTAAGATGTTGTTGTTGTTAAGTGCTGTCAAGTCGGTTCCGACCCATACTGACCCTGTATAGGGTTTAGACAGGTTTCCCAGTAGCAGCTGGTGAGCTTGAATCGCCAACCTTGCAGTTCAAAGGGTTTTTTTGTGCATTTGGCACATTAACCCACAGCGCCACACCAGGCTTGATTATGATTAAGATGTTGTTGTTAGGTGCTGTGGAGTCGGTTCCGACTCATAGTGACCCTGTACAGGGTTTCCGAGGTTGTAAATCTTTCCGGGAGCAGAAAGCCTCATCTTTCTCCCTCGGAACAGCTGGTAGTTTCAAACTGCACAATCACTAAGCTCCTGGTAATGAAGATAACAACAGGTACAATTAAGGATCTGAAATGCTCAGGGCACAGTTCTTCCAGTCAGGCCAACAAACTCTTATCAGTTGTGCCTGCAGGCACACCTCTCTCTGGTCTTTGACTTTTTAGTCACACAGTCCCTTGACTTTTACCTGATTTGGGCAATGTTATAAAACTCTTTTAGGGCTGCCAATAAATGTGCACTGCACTCCACTATAAGTCTCAGCCCATAAGCACTCTGCTATAGCTGTGTGGGTCAGTAAACCTCGTTAGGTGCTTTGGGGCGCTCCACTCCACAAGTGAGCCTTCTGACTGAAGGCAAGTCAGCTTTACTTGCTCTATGAACCTGGAAGATCAGTTCTCTGTCTTGTGCTCCAAATCTTGGTTGTGCTGCTGCTGCTCCTCAGTCTCTCTTCTGGTGTCACAGCTTTCTGTTTTTGAATCAAGAGGTTCAATGCAGAGTGATCTTGGGGTCCAAGCATTCTGCTCCTGGCTCTACTGTCTTGATGGTAGTGAGATTCCCCCTTGTGCTTGTGATGGTTCCTTTAAAACCCAACAGGATGGCAAAATTGACCACCTCTCCCCAATTAGATTTCCAAGTGTTTACAACCACATTTACCTTGTTAACAGTTACTCACAACTGAATCATATCTGGTAGCATCTTACCCACCTACTTTGTTTTACTTAAGCCAATCAGGAAAAAATTGTTAGGTGGAAGTTACACAAACTATGGCCAACAGTGCAGTGAAGGGTTCAAGGTGTGAAGATAATTTCATGTATGTAAATAAATAAAATGACTAGTTCTCAGGTAATGGTTGAAAAATCTTCCTTTAAAAATTACACATACAAATTTTTTTTTTTTTATTCATATTGTAGGATGATAAAAAGTTTGGACAAGAGTTCTTCTAAGTCAAGTTTGATTTGTTATTCTTAGTTATGGCTCTAATTTTCATGATTGAATTGTTATGCTTTAAAAACAGAGTTGTTTATAAGACTCTATACCCTTTGCTGTTGAGTCTAAATGTGTGGGACTGAGTAGTAAAACTGCCCCTAGAGTCTCTAAGGCTGTAATCATCACAGAAGCAGACTAATACATCTCCTGTAGAGCGGCTGCTGGATGTGAACCACAAACCTTTTGGTTAGTAACCAAACATTTAACTGTTGTGCTACCAGAGCTTCTTTAAGGGATTCTGTTATTGTTGCTTGGTGTCACTGAGTCTGTTCCAACTCAGCAACCCTATGTACAACAGAATGAAATACTACCTGGTCCTTCACCATCTTCCTAATCAGTGCTGTTTGAACCCATTGTGTCAGTCCATCTTATTGAGGCTCTTCCTCTTTTCCGTTGACCCCCTACTTGCCAAGGATGATGGGACCCTGGTCCCTTCTGATAACATGTGCGAAGTATATGAAACAAAGTCTTCCCATCCTCATTTCCACGGAACATTCAGTTTGTCCTTCCAGAAGTCCATGGTATAGTCACTATTCTTCTAGGATTAGTGAACCACCAGCTTGTGCTTACTTTGTGTTTGTTTATTGATCATTTTTGTTTTCAGAATAATTTTTTATTTGAACTTTTAAAGTGGTCGATTGTATTTAAACCTATTTCCAAGATTTGTTATGTAAAGTAAGCTTTTATGCAATTTTGTTGTTAAATGCCATGGAGTCGGGGTGGACTCAGTGACCCTAAACAGGGTTTCTAAGGAGCTACTGGTGGGTTTGAACTGCCAACCTTGAAGTTCAAACCAACCTTGTGGCTTATCCTATCTTGTTGTTAAGTGCTGTGGAGTCCGTGCGAACTCATAGTGACCTGGAATAGAATTTCCAAGGAGCAGCTGGTGGGTTTGAACTACTGATCTTGTGGTTTGCAGTCCAGTGCTGATCCACAGCGCCACATCAGAAGTCCTGTGTTGTTGTTAAGTGCTGTCGAGTCAATTCTGACCCATAGCGACCCTGTATAAGGTTTCCAAGGAGCAACTGGTAAGGTTGAACTACCGACCTTCTGGTTCAAACCAACTTTGTAGTCCAGCGCATTAACCCACATCGCCACACCAGGACTCCACAGAAGTCCTATAGTACCACTCAATAATTGTAACTAACTGGAATATACGTTTTGAACTGAGTGGATGTGAGTAAGAAATTAACCAAACAATATTTTCATAATGTTATTTTGTAAATTAAATTATAAGTTTGCATATATGACAGTTTGTGTTTTCCCTTCAGTTGTATCAAGTTGGAATGAAAGAAGTTTAATTGTATACTTTATAAATACCAATTTTCAAGCTGGCATGTAATTACAATATTTTTAAGCTGCGCAATTCAGTGGTTGTTGGTATATTCATGAAGTTGTGCGGCCACAATGTATAATGTAATCACTGTGTAAGTAGTAATTTAAAACAAAGATAATCTAGGAAATGTGAATTTGGGAAACCTAGCTTTAATATATTAACTTTTAGCTATTTCATGTTTATAGTAAGACTGTCTTGTCGTTGAGCTGAGGGTTTAGGGGAAGGTAGTTTCTCCTGTAAAGGTTCTGTGGACCTTAGGTAAAGAATAAATAAACGGTTTTTGTTGTTCTTTAAATCTCATCTATATCAGGAAAGCTTTAAAATGGATCTTATTTAGGATCCTCTTCAGTATGAAAGTATTTCATCCTTAAAACAGGTATCTAACAACCTGAATATATGTATTTCCTCTTTAGATCTATCCTCCATTACCATTGAGCTGCTCTGGAATAGATCTTGATCAAAATAGGAATTGGGAATCTTGGGAGGATATAAATTTTCTTGTCCTCAGCTGTTACTGGTGACCTATCACTGCTAAAGTTGCCTTCACTGGTTCTTTGTTTGCTGGTCATTAGTGAAAGTTTATGATTCTATTTCATAGTTTACTGTAGTTAGTGTTCAGGTATTTACTGCTGTTTTCATTGTTTCAAAATGAAACTTTTGTCAATGTAGTCTTAACATTTTATTTTAATTTTCCTTATTTATTTTTTGTTTTCTTTACAGTACTCTGTGCAAAAAACTTGGTGAAAAAGGATTTTTTCCGTAAGTAAATTAACTTTAAATATGAATCTTATATATTCTTTATATAATATAATATATATATAAAATGTTGTTGTTAAGTGCTGTTGAGTCGGTTCCAACTCAAAGCGACCTGTATAGGGTTTCTGAGGAGCAGCTGGTGAGTTTGAACCACCAACTTGGTGGTTCAAACTGACCTTGTGGTCCATTGCTTTATCTCATAGCCCCGTGCCACCTGGACTCCATATAATATTATATATATACACCCACAATTAATGTGAGGGAGTTTCAAGTAGTTCATGGAAAAATGCAATAAAAAGATAATGGAATTTTTCCACAAACTAAGTCTGCTTGTATCTTGCAGAAGGTGGATTCTAGGGCTAAAAAGCACAATACCCTCTTTAAGAAAGGTTAAACCAGATGGCTGTAAACCAAAGCATTTGTAGAGTAATGCTGAATATATTTCTGAAGAGAGAAATCCCATATTAGGTAATCCTCTTAAAGGCCTATCAAATATATATGATGTAATGTATATATATTATGTATATGCATAATATAGATTTGAGATATACATAATATATCTTTGATATAGATCATATATCATATGTATATATTATATGTATATTCTTGGATCAACTATTAATACTCATGGAAGCAGCAGTCAAGAAATCAAACAATGTATTTCATTAGGCAAATATGCTGCAAAAGACTTTTTTAATGTTTTATTGTGAATTATGTGATAGTTTACATGGGAGAACATTAGTTTTACATTCATCCTATTGTATATCGTTTCATTGCCGTGGTTACAATCCCCGCCATGCATCATCAACCAACCAAAGGGTATACCCTGCAAGCCTGACTCCCAGTCGTCAGCACACAGCCCCTCTCCCTCTCTGGGTCTAAAGTCCCCAACTGCTCCATCTCTCCACATCATTGTCTCTGCCTCCATCTCTAGCATCACTGCTTCTCTGGGTAGGGTCCTGCTCTCCGCTATTCTCCCTTGATGGTCCCAGGGACCTCTGCTCCTAGACTGTAAAGTTAATCCAAGACCTTTTTTAAAGTGTTGAAGAGCAGAGATGTCAGCTTGAAGACTAAGGTATGCCTGACCCAAGCCATTGTATTTTCAATAACCTCATATGCATGCAAAAACTGGACAGTGAATAAGGAAGAACATAGAAGAATTGATGGCTTTTGAGTTATGGTGTTGGAGGAGAATATTGAAAATGTCGGGCTGCCAAAAGAACCAACAGATCTGTGTTGGAAGAAGTGCAGCCAAGAGTGCTCCTTGGAGGCCAGGATGGCCAAACTTCATCTCTCATACTTCAGACATATTGTCAGGAGGGAGCAGTTGCTGGAGAAGGATATCATGTTTGGTAAGGTAGAGGGTCAGAGTAAAAGAGGAAGACCCCCAGCGAGGTGGATTGGCAAAGTGGCAGCATCAGTGGGCTCAAGCATGGCAACGATACTGAGGTTGGCCCAGGATTGGGCAGTGTTTCATTCTGCAACATATATATCAGATATGTTATGTATATATGTAATATATGTAATATAGCATATAGTATGTTACATATATATGCACACATAATATGTATTTGATATACATGCATAATATATATTATGTGTGTGTGTAGATATATATATATATATATTATTTGATAGGCCTTTAAGAGGATTACCTAATTAGGGATTTCTCTGTTCAGAAATATATTCAGCAGTACTCTATAAATGCTTTGGTCTACAGCCATTTGTCTTAACCTTTTAAAAAGAGGATACTGTGGTTTTTAGCCCTAGAATCCACCCTCCGCAACATAATGAGGGGACTTCCAAAAGTTTATAGGAATTTTCCATTATCTTTAAATTGCATTTTTCCATGAACTATTTGAAAGGAGCTCTGGTAGCGTAGTGGTTACAAATCAGGCTGCAAACCACAAGGTCAGCAGTTAGAAACTACCAGCGGTTCCGTGGGACAAAGATTAGGCTATCTGTTCCTGTAAAGATTTATAGCCTTGGAAACCCTATTCAGGGTCGCTATGGGTCGGAACCAACTCGATGGCACTTAACAACAACAACAAATTTGAAACTCCCTTATAACAATTGTGGAATTACATCTGGTGTGTGTATATTTAGGTGTGTATATGCAGACATATGTAATATATGTTAAGGAGCTCTGGTAGCGTAGCATAGTGGTTATGAATAGGGCTGCGAACCTTAAGGCCAGCAGTTTGAAACTGCCAGCTGTTTTGTGGGAGAAAGATGAGGCTTTCTATTCCCGTAAAGATTTACAGCCTCGGGAACCCAGTACAGGGTTGCTATGAGTCGAAACTTACTCCACAGCACATAACCACCACCATAATATATGTTGAGGTGTACATACTATTAGAGTTCTAGGAAAAATTTATTTCATAAATACCATTTAAAAAAAAAAAGAAAGAAAACATTTCATAGGAATTTTAGTCACACTATTATGGTTCCTTGGAAAGTAGAGCAGTCATTGAGCCTACATGGAATTTCCAGAGCATAGGAAAGAAATTGCTGCCACATTTCATGGTTGTACATGCTCCTAGGTCTCAGAATCCAGAGCAGACATTTGGTTCTCATATTTGTAGCTTATTTGCCAATCTGTTAGGAATTTTTGAAACTTTTTTCAGGATTAAGTTTTGTGAGAAAGGATTGTGTGTTTAAAATATTTATCCTGTAATATCATACTTTATACTAATATTGTATTATATAGATGCAATAACATTATTGCATAAGAATTATTAATTTTAAGAAAAAAAATTCTCAAGTGAATAATCTCATATGTAAAATATTTGAAATTAGAAATAGAAAAGATTCATTAGATATTTTAAAATTGAAGGCCTACCAGCCAGCAAAGAACTGGCTATCTTTGCTGTCTAATTTAATGTGACAGTTGATAACTTCAGGAACCAGATTGCAAGAAATAATAATTTCTTGTTTTAATTTTCGGTCATCATTCATTCTACTTGAAGTTTGATTATATCCAGTCTTTCTAAAATAGAACCTAAATTAAAGTGTATAAAATGACAGCTGTATAAATTTTGATGGTGTCTGTGCTTATATGGGTTAGCAATTAATTAGGATAATTTGGAATATAATTAAGAAAAAAGTTATAAGCAGTGACTAACTTGTTTACCACCACATATCACACACATCTAAGACCAGTGGCCACAAAACTTTCTGCAGCCACCAATTAACGTTATCTCTTGCAGAAGGTATGCTAAACAATACCTTCCTGACTCTTGCCCTAATATAGCGTTGTTGTTGTTGTTTGCCGTGGAGTCAGTTCCGACTCATAGTGGCCCTGCACAGGGTTTCCGAGGCTGCTAATCTTTACAGGAGCAGAATGCCTCATCTTTCTCTCGCGGAGCAGCTGGTAGTTTCAAACTGCTGACCTTGCGGGTTCGCAGCCCGATTCGTAACCACTACGCTACCAGAGCTCCTTAATATAGCATGTTGTTGTTGTTGTTAAGTGCCGTCGAGTCGGTTCCGACCCATAGCGACCCTGTACAGGGCTTCCGAGGGTGTAAATCTTTACGGGAGTAGAACGCCTCATCTTTCTCCCGCGGAGTGGCTGGTAGTTTCGAACCGCTGACCTTAAGGTTCGCAGCCCGATTCGTAACCACTACGCTACCAGAGCTCCTTCTAATATAGCATAGTGGTTACAAATATATAGTGGTTACGAATCGGGCTAACTTCAAGTTCGGTGGTTTTAAATTACCAGCCTTTCTGCGTGCGAAAGATGAGGCTTTCTACTCCCGTAAAGATTTACAGCCTCGGAAACCCTGTGCAGGGTCACTGTGAGTCAGAACCGACTCCACAGCACTTAAAACAGCAACCTTCTTCATACCCTTCTCAAGGTTAATATGAGATCAGATTTATCCTAGTAGGACTAAAAAAAGTCCAGTAGGATTGGACAAGTAGGTGACTTGGAGAAAAGCTGGGAAAGTGAGAAAAGCACACTCTTAACAGCTGCTTCAAGCCCATCCAAGGGAACCCTGGTAGCATAGTGCGCAGCTAACCACAGGGTCGGCAGTTCAAATCTACCAGCCACTCTGTGGGAGGAAGATGAGGCTTTCTGCTCCCATAAAGACTTACTACCTCAGAAACCCTATATGGAGTCCCTATTGGGTAGGAACCAACTTGACACCTACCACTACCACCACCATCCCTTCCAAGACTTCTAGCTTTAGCACTGGTTTTGAAGATGAAATCCTGTTTTGTTTCTCAGACTTCTTCCCAGTTCTTTATTTTCACCAGAGCTCCTAGAAACAGCCTTTCCCATAAAAATATTCAAGTATCTCAGTTTTCCTAGGAAATCTGTACGAACCTTACTTTAGATCTTGTGAGCCTCTGAGAACCATTTTATCACCATTTAAAAAATCTTTATATTTCCATTTTTAAATTGTGAGTGAAAAAGAAGGGAAGGAGGAAGTCTTTTTTCTCTTTTATTGGTGTTGACAGTAAAGATTAATAAACATTCTTAACAGTTTTGAGCCTACTTTAGGAATAAGAAAATTAGGAAGAACTGAGAATTATCCTTAAAGCCCAGAATAGAAGAAACTTGAAAGCCCTGGAGAGGGAAATGAGAAAGCCAGTTTGCGGACTTCCCACTTGAATTGTCTTGGAAGGGATAGAAGCAGCTATAGGAGTGTGTTTTCCTCACTCCCCTCCCTTACCTCCATGTCAGCAATCCTGTTTGACCTTTTCCATTCCCACTTGGAGAAATCTTATCTCATCAACCTTGAGAAAAGGGGTCAGCCAGGGATGGACATGTGCCCCAAGTTCACACTAGTGCAGGTCCTAAATCCCTACCGCAGTAGACTTATACATGTGCTTAGGGAGTTCGTTGGGTTTTGTTTTTTATCTTTTTCTAAATTGAGGATTGTCTACATTTAATTTCAGAGAAGGAACTACATATGATGATTGTTTCTAAATCCTAAAAATTTGTTTGAGTGAGAGAGAGAGTTTGTTAATCCGTTGTTGTGTTGTTAGTGCTGTTGAGTCATAGAGATCCTGTATAAGGAGCGACTGTGTAAGGAGCAACTGGTGGGTTTGAGCTGCCAACCTTGTAGTTCAAACCAACCTTTCAGTCCAGTGCTTATCCTGTAGTGCCACATCAGGACTTCATTTGTTGATCAGACTACTGTTTAATTGATAGTAGAATTAAGATTTGTGATTCCATTTACAGTGTATTGAGTGAAATAAGTAAATTTGATCTGAAGCATAATACAGTAAATTTAAACTACAGAAAAAAAATCTATTGCTGTTTGTTGTATTTTGTAGATGAATTTGTATGTGGGATAATCTGCTTGTTTTATGGCACTACAATTGCTGTGAAAAATTTTGTTAATTCATTTAAAAATGTTTTTCAAACCTGTTGGGGTATTAAAATAAGCGACTGTCACCCCCAAGATTTTAGCATGACATGTTGTAAACATAGAACACTGTGTAAAGAAGTTTACAGTGAACACCTGTTTATACTCGCCATCTAGGTTCTACCATTGACTTTATTACATAGCTTATCCATCTGTCTATTATCTTTAAGGTTTTTTTTTTTTAGAATATACTCATTAGTAACATTTTTTCTCTTTCATTTATGCAACATTTAAATAAAATATTTATGTTTAAGATGCTTTTTATATGGGGGCCAAATTGAAAGTCATTAGAATTTAGCTGGCTTAGTTGAATTTTTTTCTTCCCTTTAAAATTAAAGTAACTTGGGGGTATTCTGTTTTTTAAACTAAAATAATTTGTTTCATAATTATTTGGAGCCCACCCAGTACAATTGCTTAGTAGAGAAGTTCTTGATTTTTTGCTATTTAATATGGCTTTGAAATTATGGGGAGAATTAAGAAATTTTTTTTTTTTGATAACAAAAAGTACTTTACCCACTTTATATGTGTGGCACTGGAGGATAAACTCTGGGTCACAAGGTCAGTTTAAATCACAAAATCAGCACTTCAAAATTCACCAGTTGCTCCTCAGAAACGCTATACCAGGTTGCTATGAGTTGGAATCGACTCGTGGCACTTAACAACAAAGCAGCGTATTTACTACTACAGAACTCACTGACCTCAGGGAACTTGATAGTTTTTGACCACTGTAGAATAACTTGGCTCTTAAGTTGTACTTTTGTAGACTAATGTAATTGGGTTAAGTTGAAAGCTGAAGTTTTGATGTGACTCTATAGGGTAAGTACTAGATTAAACTATTAACAGCAAGGTTGGCAGTAAAACCTGCCAGCTACTCCTTGGAAACCCTGTACAAGGACTCTGTGAGTTGGCACTGACTTGATGGCACTTAACAACAAGTTGAAAGCTAGGTATTTTTTGTTAAGGTACAGAGCTTGAATTTTGGTTTGTTGCATTATTTAACAAAAGAAGCATTGAAGAATAGGACGCAGACTTTAGAGATCTGGAAGGCATATATAGAGTCTTTGTGTGTAAAAAGTTGTTTTTCTTAGTTCTTAATTCTTTATTAAACTATTAAATAACACCCAAAGAGAAAGCTAGAAATGTGATTTGTTTGTTTTTTTGCCTGCAAACATACATTTATGTTTGTTTATTTAGATAGTAGAATCAAAGGAACAAGATAAAATATTTCCTCCTGAGAAGAGGTATCTGCTTTCATTTATTGTTGTGTTAAACTTTTAAAAAACTATTGGAGAATGGAATTATCTTTTGTTTTATAGCAAGTGATAATATTTATAGTAATCAGCCTTCCCCCTTTTCACAGGACTTCCTGATCCATTTGCTAAGGTGGTGGTTGATGGATCTGGGCAGTGCCATTCTACAGATACTGTGAAGAATACACTCGATCCAAAGTGGAATCAACATTACGACCTGTAGGTTTAAATGATTATTTTAAAATGAACCATAAATTGATACTATTTGATATAATGTTTGAAAGTATAGCTACTGAAAATGATTGGAGTGTGATCTGTGGTATAATTTGGTCCCCACAGTAGAGGTAGAAAACCCAGTGGGAGTGGGAAAGGTACTGTGGCTTCAAGATGCCTTTCTTGGAACATGAGCTTCCTCAATAAACTTAGGAAGAAAACAAATGAAACTGGTTCACAGCATAAGATAAAATATTTCCTTCTGAGAGGAAATCTGCTTTCACTTGTTGTGTTAGACTTTTTAAGAAATACTGGAGAATGGAATTATCTTTTGTTTTATAGCAAATGATAATATTTATAGCTCTGGTAGTGTAGTGGTTACGAATCGGGCTGCGAACCATAAGGTCAGCGGTTTGAAACTACCAGTCACTCCGCGGGAGAAAGATGAGGCTTTCTACTCCC